ACAGTATCCAATTTCAAGACACTGTATAAATCTATAGTAATCAGGAAAGTGCTGTATTAGAGAAAGAACAGACAAATAGATCAATGGAACAGAACAGAAATAGCACCACATAAATATAGTCAACCAATATTTGACAAAGGATCAAAGGCAATTCAATGGAGAAAGGATAGTGCTTTCAACAAATGGTGCTGGAACAAATGGACATCCAAGATGTTCTTCAACTTCATTCAAAGACTCAGAAGGAACTAAAGTGAATAAAGCTAATCTGAAAAGGCTCCATTCTGTGTGATTCCAACTATATAACATTCTGAAAAAGGGAAAGCTAAGGAGATAGTAAAAATAGCAGTGGTTGACAGGGGTTCAGGAGGAGACAGGGAGAGATGAACAGGTAGAACTCTGGGAAATTTTAGGGCAGTGGTAGATACATGTCATTATACATTTGTCAAAACCCACAGAATGCACAATACAAAGAGTGAACTCTCATGTAAACTATGAACTTTAGTTAATAATAATGTTTCAATATTAGATCATCAATTGTAGCAAATTTACTACACTAATGTGACATATTAATAATAGGAAAGAGTGTGGGTGGTATTGAGGTGGTTTAGGGGAATTCTCCTACTTTCTGTTCAATTTTTTGTATACTTAAAACTGTACCAAAAATAGAAATTTAAAAAATTCTTCTCTAAAACATGGTTTTAGGAACCACTAACATGTACTTCAAAAATAGACATAGCAGGGACAGAGTCATCAAAAGTGAACGGCAAAGGTTTTAGGTGTTCTATGTAGGACTATTACATAGAACTGTAGAGGCTCTATTAAAGGTCTTATGAAACAAACAATTTAAAACTTAAGTGCCAAAGAGAATGAAGTAGGAACTGCACTACACCACACAATTTTATTAACGGGATGAATATTTTGGAAAGCATTTCAGTGCCTTAGGTCAAGAAACAAACTAATTTTTAGAAAAGTGAAGTTCTTCTATTTTCCCCCAAATCTTGAATTCTAAGTTTTTCAATATTATATATCATGGAATTATTAATATACAAAGATTTAAGGCATTGGTATTTTGTCAACTAAGATTTAAGACACAGACATGAAGTTATATATGCTATTAATTTGATTTTGCTCATGCATTTATTTTAAAGTTCACTGATTTATTGTGTATTCAATCTCTCTAATCATAAATTCCTTGTCATCCATCCCCAAAATGCAGTATTTGGTTATAGCAATCTTTATACCAATGTTAACTAACCAACTTAAAATCTGTCCCTGAAGGAAAAAAATTACTATTTATCTCAAAGCTGCTGTGATTATTTTAAGTCAGCATACAATTGTTATGATTGGCCAACCAGAACTCTAGTATTATTTCAGCATGGTTTTCACAGGTGGAACTTAGTGATGTCTAGTTCTTAGGGTCAGTAAGTGGAGTCTCTCTCCCTAGGCCTGAAAGACCTCACAACATCCTGGAGAAAATACATGCCTTTGGTTGAATGTTTTCTGAGGCACAACCATCATCCTACAAGATAATGCAAGTTCCGGACAATTTTCATTGTTAAAAGGTCCTTATGTTGAGAACACCTCTGCCTTTCTGCAATTGTCATATGTTGGTCTCAGTTGGCCCTAGGATGAGATGAGTATGGCACTTGCCTAGGGGGCGAAAGTCAAGGGAGTGCCAAAAAACTCACTAATCAAGAAAAATAATACTTTAATGTAATATATGAGAAAATAAAACTGCAAAAAAATCTACAATGAACAAAATATAAAAGTATTCAATAAAGATATGCTCCAACAGGGCTAGGATTTGGGTGAAGTGAGTGACGTAAGTCATACAAGTATAGGGTCAGCTCCTGTCTTTATTGGAAATTTTGATTTCTTGGGGTTCAAGTCCTATATGAACATTGGAGATTTAACCCTCAAAAGGAGCCAGACGAAAGATATTGGTCAATGTGTGATCATCTGTAGGAACTTCAATGTGCAATGTGTGTGCTTAGAGATATCAGTGAACTTCCTGTCTCTCGCTTCTGTTTTAGTTTGCTACCACCACTACTGTCTCTACTTCTTATCACAGTTCTCTTAAACTTCCTGGTGTCTTGGCCTCCAGCCCTCATTGCAATCCTTTTATACTAGATGATTCTTATGCAAATACACCTGGGAAGTCCATTCCAGACTCCATTTTAATTGGCTTGGATTGGAATAATTTTGTACTTGGGTGAAAAAATACCAGAAATCTCACACAACTTGATTTTCAAAGTACTGTGTTTTTTCATAGCCCTTTAGTCCATATTGCCTTGTCTTAGCCATTAAACATGATCAACATATTCTATTTTTCTACAAAACCAAGGTAACCATGGAAAAGTGTTTCTCCACATAAACTGACCTAAGAGGTTTATGTTTTGCAGAGGCTACCTAGTAAGTTTGAATTGGTGATGGAAATAGACATTAGATACTAATAGAATATAAGAAACCATTCTTTAAACCTGCTTTAAGCAATAAACTCCTGTCTGCCCCAAGCTGTCTCAGAATAAACAGCCTAACTAATCACTATTATTTCTATTGGGCCTCACACCCAACTACATCACAGTATCAACATCCTCTTTATAAGCAAGTGTTCATACTTTATAAATGTTCTTTAAATAAATGGTGGTAGAAAATTCGAAGTTGGATAATTTGAATTGCTTCTATACTTGTACCTAAAAAGAAAAATCATAGAAGACAAAGCATCATTGCCTGTAGGAGTGGAACAGTGTCTGAGATCATTATCATCTCACTTCCTCTAATTTTTTCTATAACTTTTTATTGAATAATTATTTTATTCTTCACTTGTATATAATCCAAGCAAATGAGACTTAAACAGGTATATGTTTATTCAGGGGGGGAAACAAATAGAATAATAAAGACTATGCTTATTTTTAGTTAAAAATTGCAGGCTCTCCAGGTTTCGGGAGAAAGTTTAGAAGATGATTCCCTTTGAAATGGACACCAATAAGAGCTAATGTTAAACTGAATGACATTAATAATTTTGAGATGACTGACTTTGAGGAATGTTCTGTAAATGATTTTCTGTGTAAGCCATGCCATTTCCTTGGCCTTACCACAGAAACATTAATCTACTGTGAAGTGCTGAAACACGAACTGCAATTGGGAACACTAACATATTTATGAAAAACACAAAATATGGAGTGAGAGAACATTAAGAATAAGAATTTGCTTTTCTGTAAGGAACAGAGGCAGTTTATCTGTCAGGCAATAACAATGACGACCGAAAACAATTTTGATTTATTAAGTATCATAGGAGCAATACCAGTTTTTTAGGCATATTAATTTGGGTTATTTCAACAACTTTAGAAAGTCAATATTATTATTTCTGCTTGAATAGTGAGCAGACTGAGGCTCAAAGATGTTACATGCTTGCCCAAGTCACACAGTTAGTATGTGGTACATCGTTGTGGCAGTATCTGTGGTCAGGTCTGTCTGCCTCCAACACCTGGGTTTTTCTCCATGACCTCCTTCTCAGGTGTGCAGGTATTTTCTCCACTAGAACTTCATACTCTTTGGTGAAATAATTCCCAGGTATCATCCCAGGTTGGAGAAAATACATCACAAAGTTCTCCAACTCAGATCCACAAATCGGCAGGTTTTTTTTGTTTGTTTGTTTTTTGTTTTTTTAAATTAACTTCTTTCTCCAAGTGCGTCAGTTTTGAAGAATGTGTACCCTGGATGAAAAAAAATCAACATTCCCACTACTGGAAAGGAATCATCTATTCTCTCTATTAATGGTTCAGTATTCTGGTTTTCAGATTGTCTTCCATAAATTATGTTAGTTTGAATCTTTGGTTGGCACCTGACCACCCTTGGATGAACTATGAAATTCAACTTTCTGAAATGATAAAAATGAGGGATGACTCCATGGGCTTTCCTATGGTTTTCTTACAAAACGTCTCTCCAGGAGCCAACAAAAGCCAGATTGCTGTGAAGTTTCTGTCTTTGAACATGCTGGCACTCTGCCTCAAATGCCTTCTCTGCCTTGTTTCCTGAAAAATCTCCCCTCCTTTAAAATCCAACTCAGATGCCCTCAGTTCTTTTGTGAAATCACTCTAGAAACCCTCAAAGTCACTCTTATTCTTTTAAACTTCCATATATTTTACACATACCACTATTATATTCCCTCAGCACTTCCCAGCAACTCCTTCTGTATAATTCCCTTTTCTCGTCTAGCCTATGAGTTACTCAACAGTGTAGATAGTCAGAGTCTCCTTGTTATCCTAGCACCTACTATAACACTTTGCATTGGAACAAATCCTCAATGAATACTTGTAGAAATGACATTTAAAAACCATACATACAATATTATTTTTGAAAACTGTAGCCTTCAGGAAGATGTAAGAAGATGAGCACTTATTAGGGGCCTATTTCCTTGAAGAGCTTAACTAAGATCATGGTTGTTGAACTGAGTTCATTCTAAGTTGACTGAAGTTGATTCACTATGATTAAATTTCCTATTGTATCTTTTCTTTTGCTTGCATTTGGCCTTTCATGTTTAACAAAACCTTCTGCTTGTAGAATCATAGGATGCCTCAAATAATAGTGAGAAAAATGGAGTCTGGGAAAGGCAAGGGATTTACCACAAATCATAGCTAAATAGGAGACGTGAACTAAAACTCTGGCTCTCTGAGCCCCTTTGTTACTCTTTCTAGTAGACCAAGGTGGTACAGAAAAAAAAAAACAAAAAACCCTTTTAAGCTTGTTTATAGCTCTTTCATCTATTCAGAAGAAAGTATTTTTTTTAATAGTCACAGGGGGCACTATAACATGGAATAAGCTGCCACCAGGTTTGGTGACTTTCCAAACAAGGCCATTCATAAATTCAATGTTAGAAATATTAGTCCCATACTGAAAACTGTGCTTTTCTTTTCTCAGTGACAAATAATAAAATGCAAGCATGGGTTCATCCATACACACTAGTTGTCAATAATAAAATGAGGAGATATTGCACTGACCATAGTCTGTGTTTTCTGGCTCCCAACAATTTGATGGCCAAAAATAGGGTGTCTGTGGAATGAAAAGAAGTGGAACTTAGGTTAGGCACATAAAGAATTAGTGGGGTTCCTGGTTTATGAGCTGTGTTTATCTTCAGCAATTACCTAGAATTTTGCTAACAATGTATGTTTTATTACCCAGAAAAAGTACTCAGAGAGGCATTGTAAGGTTTTTCTTTTACATTTACTTTGCTAAGCAATTGTTCAGCTTCCAAATAGGTGCAGCACCAGCAGGTATTTAAGACAGTGTTCATTTGCTACAATTGTATGTCATCTGACAAAAAGGTAAAAGGACTGATTGCATTATTCAAATAAAAAGTGTTAATACACAAAGACTGAAAGCAAAGTATTATATTCAGGAAGACTCATGATGAGCTATGTTTAAATTTAGCAAATTGTTTTTTATGATTTATGTATTTCATCATTGCCCTCAGTAGATCCAAAAGTTCAACCGTCAGAATCTTTCCTTAAGATCTGGCAATCATTTGCTTGGTTCTATTAATTATATAATGCAGCTCTCAACATTATCCAGCTAGATTAAAACAACTTTTCCCCCTCACTTTAAAAAATATTTCTGGATAGAGACACTTATTACTCTAAATTTTTAAACTGCACAAGTCAGAGATGATTTTTTTTAACTAATAACTTAGTTGATTGCTTAACAATAGACAGATACATGATTCTGTGAAATTCTGGAAACTGATGAAACTACAAAGAAAATATCTGATTGAGAAAACCCAATTATTATCATCAGCATGTTATATTTTCTGATAGGGCTTTTCTAGCCCTCATGGCTGGACATGCTTGGCTCCAGACCCCGAGGATACTCCATCACCACCAGTCTACTCTTTCAAACTGTTTCCTTGGATGATGATGGCTCTGGAATTCAATGGAACAGTGACTACAGACGTCAGCCTTGTGGGCTTAATTATATTTATTAGTCAATTATATTAACAATCTGTGTGTAACAAGCATATTTAGGGTAATCTCTGATTACCTGTTTGATAATTCTGCCTTCTAGAAGAGGGACTCTCAAGGGGGGAAAAGGGTAATTGGGAGAACTGTTTGAATCTCTGGGAGAGAGCCCTTCCAAACAGTTTAGGACTCCCAGGGGATTTGATTTACCCTCTATGCTTTCTTGGGAATTGCTCCAGTATCATAAAGAAGGATACTAATACTAATTTTGTATATATATGAACAAAGTGACAGAATACATTTAGAGGGTAAAAAAGCTGAAGCACTAGATAAAGGGGGATACCAAGGCTTTATACAGCACCCCCTCCTTGGCAAATGAATCCACTTAACCTAGTCTGAGAGTAAAACTGGGTCACTACTCTAGGAGAACCATAGAGAAACAAAGTAGTTAAAAAATCTTCCTTTCATGTGGGCTGCTAGCTTTTGAGATACTTCTCATAGAATGCAATATTCCCTTTGGGTTGCTTCTTTATTTTGGGAGGGGTGTGTGTGTGTGTGTGTGTGTGTATGTGTGTGTGTGTGTGTGTACGTGCACGCATGCGTATGCATACCTATTTATCTAACTCTAAAAATATATACTCTAGTCAGACTGGTCAGACACATACTTTTTTTCTCAAAACCACAAGGAATGTTTTCAATAGCATTCTTATAATTTTTCTTTATTTTTCTATCATTTACTTTAGTGAAAATTTCCTGACTGTAAAAATAAATGAATGAAGCTATTTTATCCTGTGATATTATGTGGAAAAGGCACAAAACCAACACTCTTCACTAATATTGCAAGATTTTTTTTCTAGGAAAAATATTTTGATTTGTAGTAAAAGAAAATTTAAATAACAAACTCCTATAGTTTGTTGGAATTTAAAAATTTACTTTCACAGTCAAACTAGGCTTTAGGACATTTTAATGTATGAGTTTCTCTGCTTTTCAGAGTTTGCTTCTTTAGCCATAATAAAACAGATCCAAAACTGTCTAGCCATTGCTCAGTAATCTTTGGCACCTATACTAATGTGATGAAAGTCATGAAAGTGACCTGGATAATCATGTCAGAACTCAATTTCAGTTAGCTAAGGAGGATAAATTAGACAATTGCAAGTTTACAGTAAATACAAAAATCATATGATTGAAAAATTGAGACACATTTACTGCGGCATACCAGTGAAATTAAAGTAAGAGTTCTGTTTGCCTCAAACTCATGCCCCAAAGCTTTTTCATATTCCTAATGATGGTTAGAATCTCAATCATTCACTGGAGTAATTGTAAACACAATATTGCAAGTTTCCTATTTTAACCCATGATTTTTAAAATCCTTCCATGGAGTTGAATTTCAATTCAATGTAATAAAGAACTTAATGCTGCTTGGAACCAACACAAAAATGGAAGTAAACACTTTGAACAATAATGTATTTTCTGTTATTAGAGCTGTTCAAATATAAACTAATTAATGCCTTGGTAGACACTGTAGCAGGAATTAAATAATCCCTGATTTTTCTGGGGTTTCTTTTGTTTGTTTTTAAACCCTTGGTTTTTAGATTGTATGGTTATTAGATTTACAAATATGCCATGTTTCTATCCTATTTTGAATGTGGATGTGTCATTAAAATCTTTAACATTTAATATTTAACATTAATTCATGTAATTTAAAAGATTATCTATCATCTATTTAGGCATATTGAACTTGATAATCTTCTGCCTATACCTAGTAGTGATGTAATTAGTTTATCATTTGTACTCATTCCCTTGCTTTGTTGTAAAGTTCTTTAAAAACAGTCTCTCCTTTTCTGCAGAATGCAGGGTGATCCATTCCCAGCTTTGCTCATCTTTGACCCACGAGCATGACAATAAAACCTTGTCTGGGGCCTCCCTGGTGGTGCAGTGGTTGAGAGTCCGCCTGCCGATGCAGGGGACACGGGTTCATGCTTGGTCTGGGAGGATCCCACATGCCGTGGAGCGGTTAGGCCCGTGAGCCATGGCCGCTGAGCCTGCGCGTCCGGAGCCTGCGCTCCGCGACGGGAGAGGCCACAGCAGTGAGAGGCCCGCGTACCGCAAAAAAGAAAAGAACACCTTGTCTGCCTACTAACTTCAGTCTGGAAATGACAACAGCAGAGTTAAAGGTTGTAAATTATACTAATTCAAGACATCACCACTAATTTTAGGCCATGTCTCAGCTAGTTTGTTTTGAGGGAAATTTTTGAATTAGATAATTGTTAACAGATAGACTATATTCAATGTTTCCCTTATAAATATATTATATTATACACAGATGATTTTACTTGTAATATTGATAGCGAAGATGGATAAAAGTTGGTATTTTTGTTAAAAAAATACATTTCATTTAGAATTTGTAAGAAATTTTTAGGCCTAACGTTTACTTAGAGTCTGCATATGAAAAACTTGTATAAGAAAATAAAATTTTATGGAAAATGTGATCCTGCAATAGCAAAGTAACTCCTTTTAAAAAATCAAAAAGTGTTAGTAACACATACATAATTTGTTTGCTAATCACTAATAATTTCTATTTATTAAATTGCTAACTTTAGGACCACAAGTTACTCTAACTTAATAATAAGCTGTTTTAAGCTACCATTACCTTAAATTTAACTCTATAAAGGATAAAGCTTCATTATTTTAAAGCCTTTTAAAATTAAGTGATTCAACTAATTTAAATTGCTTGAATACTTAGGTCAGTATCACAGTTTCAGGAGACTGCTTTATTTACTAGCCATTCAGTGCAGAAAGTCCTATGATTATTTGCCTTCGATAGACGTGCCCTAAGGAAGTGGTAGTGAGAGTTTTCTAGGAGGACAATGATCTTTGACAACAATTTTTTAAAACATATTCCCTCTGTTTTCAACTGCAAAGTCCAAGCAAGTCCTTAGGCATCCAAGTCACTTTATTTAGATATAGAACATCTAATCATTCAGAGCTAGTGAGAAGAATGCTCCAATGTCTAAAAGTTGGACGATGGGGAGAATCCTCTGAAAATACCTAGAGCTAGAGTTTGAACTCTGGCATATATGCCTTAATTTTTTTAGGCTGGAATCTTCCAGTCAGTTACTAATGAACCATAATGTCTAATGAAATGTAGAATACACTTCAGGTAAACCACTGTAAACTCAAGTGTCAACTGAATGCTCAATAACTGAAATTAGAGTCCACAATCATTTCCTGAAAGATTATTCTTTATAGGTATCTCATCTGAAAAATGACCTAGAACTACTCTTGTCAGTTTATAAGTTATCTAAGGTGGCTTCCTGTCTCAGATAAGTATATGCACGCAAAGCATCATGCATATCAGTCTTCATAGACTTGTAGGTCTCAGACATGCAGAAGATATGTATTTATTAGCTAAATTCTATCCTGGAGCTTCAAGCATTCCCATGACTATTTGCTTGGACTGTAGATGGCTCTGGATCACGCAGGGTCTAGAGTGTAACAAATTTAGTTAATCTCTCAACTTCCTTCCTAGCAAATAAATGTTACTTACAGATGAACTCTCTCATCTTCGTGAATTCCATTGTCACTCTCTGAATTTTTCTCAAACATTTTATATAAAATATAATTTAAATCATCACACAATTTAGCTTTCACAAATCATTAGATTCTAACTAGCTTAAGTCAAAGTAAAATAAGTCATAATTTTCAAAATTTTTGTAAAACAATGAAAATGCAGACTTGTTTTTACTGTTAAAGAATATTTTTATTAAACTTACTTGGAACCGGTAAAAGGTGCCATCATCCTTGAGTGTGAGGACATGATCCGAGATTGGAAAGAAGTAGCCATGGGCAGCCATTAGTGTTCCCAAATGGAGTGCCTCAACTGTTTCATGAAAATAAACAAACCAAAAAACACATATAAAAGCTCTCTTTAAAACTGTTGACTTATAGCCATGTAGAATTTTATCTTGTTCCATTTGAACACATTCTTGCATTGGAATTCTCAGCATCCTGAAAAGCCTGTCTTTGTACTTCTTCTTTCAGCTCTTCCACATAAGGTACTAAGATGGCTCTGCTTCCTGGTAGTGACTGTGCAATGACCAACACTGCATGGCGACCAGCCCATGAGAACATAAAGTTATGGAACATTGAAACTGAAGGTTTTTCCTGAAATCACAGAATCTGGTTCCTTCATTTTATAGATGGGACATATTTTGCTATATGTTAATAACCTTCCACAAACAATTCTATTTGGCATTTATATAGCACTTTAAACTTTAAAAAGTGTTCTTGCTTGCATCACACCCTGCCCTGTAATATGAATTTCCAATACTATCAGCAATTTTTCTAATGATATGGACCATTACTAGAGGCAATGTTAACAGGCAATGTTAAGGCATCTAGAAAAATTTATGCTGCACTAAGTGAGCCTGCAGTCTGTGGTTGGCCAGACTGTTCTAGCTTTTACTACTCTGTATACAGTATTCTACATACGAACTATGTAGAGGTTTATATGACAATGAAAACATTATATTTTCCCAGTAGTCTGGGAAATAGTTGGAACATAATACTTTAATTTATGCAGTAAATTACTCTCCTCACTTCCATGCCTATATTGGCTAATAATAAGATAATTGTTAAATTTTACCTGTAATGGGCTACTACAGTGCCCCTTTTAATTATTATCTAACATCTTGCAAATATTTTAATTGGTAACTTCTTCTAACTCCGGCCTCCACTCCACTGATTTTGTCAATAATAAAGAACAACTGCCAATCATCCTCTTTGTCATGTGTCCAGAGACTGTTATTAAGTGTCCCAGTCATCTTGTTCACACTACCAATCAAGTCTCTCCCTGCATAGAATGTTCTTTTTCTACAAAGGAGGATTTTTTCATCACTTACGCATCCCTTTAGTTCAAAGTCAAGGTCTTCTCAAAGTCTAAGCTGCTTGTAAGTATATACCCACATATTCTGTGATTCTTATTAAAGCTCAGGAGGTAGTGTGATATTGTGGGAAGAACAAAACCTTTGGAGATACTCACTAGCTTTCGTTACTTAAATTCTCTGTAACTCTCCTTAATAGAGGTAATAATAGAGGTAATAAACCCACCTTGCAGAGCTGGTATGAAAATCAAATAAGAATATATATAAAGAAGAAGATGGAATAGTACCCTGTGCATAGTAGATACTCAACAGGTGGTAGCTATTGTGCTTCATTATTTACACACTGAATGATTTTTACTTTTCTTTAAAGTACTTTCAGGAAATCCACTTCCATAAATTTGCCTTCAACTCGGCTGAGTGGGGGAGCTGGCAGTCCTAAATAGCATCAGCCAGTTATGTCTTCTTTTTGTGGATTATTTATAAAATTAAAATGGCAAGAGGATCTGTGAAGAATGCTGGCCTATAATAATGAGCAGGTGCTTACAGCCTTGGTCATGTTCAGAATCCCTGGGTGTTCCTGTCTGGTAGTCCTGGGCAGAGCAATATATTACATCTGTTTGGGGATTTCAAAGTCAGGTGGTCCACCTATCTTGTTACAATCATCTTATTCATTTTATTCCAGGAGTCTGTGGCCTAGGAAAATATTATTAGCACTACTTTCCAGAAAGGTAAATTGAATTATGGCACATGGGGAAATTTTCAGAGTATAGATACAAGAAAGGAGAACAGATGCCCAGAAAGATTAATAGTAAAGTTTCTAAACTCTAAGCACAGGGAAGAGTGTGACTAAAATAAAACAAAGAAACATCAAAAAACAGGTGCTAATGTGTTGATGAGGATTAGAAAAACATAGTGTAAGTAAATATAGGGACGCTGCAGAAAAGAAAATCAGAAGCAAATGAACATAAGCAAGTTCTTACATTTCTGTATTCAATAGATACTAATTATATGATAAATCATACATTTCTAGAGGGCAAGATGAATGTCTGCAGGTTTTCTTCACATAACACTACCATAATTAGGCCTGCATAAATGTTTGCTGAAGAGAATAATAGTGAATTAGCAAGTAATCTCAACCTCTTTTTTCAAGGTACAATACTCCGTTTTTGTTTGGTTTAATGATATATATTCTCATTTTGCAACCCTCCAACAGATTCTCATGCTCCATAATTTTATTAATAAGGAAAATTGGTTTTGATAGGTTTTTTAAATGCCTTGAATTCAATAGATGTACATTTGTGGCGGTATCAATAAGATCAAAATTTAGTTTCTGCATGGCCCACACATAGTTCTATGTAGAGGTCAAATCAAACTATTTAACTTAATATATAAGAGGACTGAACTTCTAACAAACCTTATAAAATGATTTCAAGGTCATTGGTCAAACAGTAACCTAGAGAGATTGAGATTGGACAAGTTACATGCTCTATCACAGGACCTCCAGAGAACATGACCAAGACAGGATGAATGGTTAGATGAAAATCAAGGCAGCGGGGTGAATTTTCTGTCTCATTTAAGGCTATAAGCTTGACATGTAGCATAGCAATAGCAAAAGTAGCTATTGAATCAGTATTTACTGAATGAGTGAATAAGTAAATTTATGAATAAATGACATATGGAGTATGAAAAACATATACTGCACAAAAAATACTAGTTATCTTGTGTCGTGATGATGAGCAGCTTACACTTTGCCAAGATAATTTAGATGTTCATAATATCTTTTCAAAATACTTTTAAAGCTTTTGAGGTGGGACTGTTCTAAGTGTTTTATATGGGAAAAGATAATAGTGATATAAATGGCATAAACACCACTAAGAGATCTTAGGGTGGGCTTGGGATAGTTTTCTCAAGGTTGAATTGTTTATTGTGAGTAATAAGCATGGAGCTACATTTCCCCATGATCCAGCTGCCCCTGAATCTCAGCACAGCCTTAATCTAATAAGAAGCTGGAGGACCACTGGCAGTCTTGGAACTAAGTGTTGAAAGAATCTAATGGGTAGTCTATCAAGATCACCCTCCCAATAATGGCGCACCAGATAGGCCCACAACATTATGCTTCTTAGCAAAATAATTACTAATAAATCGTCTTGCACATGTGTTATCCACGTCACCCACACAACTGGATAAACTTCAACAATAAACTTACCATTAAGATTCCAGTTTATTTTCCATTTGGATGTTCAAGCCATGAACAAACCGAGAAGTAAAAATGCATCTCTAAACAACTGTTACTATGTGAACAACGTAGTGTAGCTTTGTTAAGCCTGATGCACTCATTGCATTACTTCGCCTTAAACGCTTAAACAACAGAATTATCAAAATCCTTTAAAAGTAAAAGGAATTCTGCATGGTGTAATTTGCTTTTGAATCACAATGACTTCAGGAAGTTAATAGGATAAAAAGCATACTATAAAAGAGACTTGTGTGTTCAGTTCTATATTTCCATATGTAGAAATATATATTTCTATATTCAGTTCTGTATTTATAACATATTTTCAGAACTCAGTAATATCTTCTTTACCCAGGGATCCCACAGCGGGTAATCTCAGCATCTCCCAAATATATCCTATAATTTCACAGCGATGGAACAATGCCTCTGAGTGAAGAAATAATAATACAAAATTTCACTAAATCTTCTATTTTTATTCCTGTCATGCATTTTTACTTTTATGTGTATATATTAGCAAATGTGATCATTTCATTATCAACACAGCATACGTGATGTAGCAAATATGATTAGTGTTATGGGGAGTAGTATTTTAGAAGGAAATCCACTCAAAATAGAAAAAAAATGACAGCCGATGATACGACATCAAGGAAAGAAAAACTAAAAAGTAGACAGAGGTAAGTTATTAAATAGTAAAATAACAGACATTTATCATGATGATTCTGAGTCATAAAGGAAAGATTTTGTTAAACTTGTTATTCTCTAAGAAGACAGGGAAGTGGTCATTAGAGAAATATTTCAAAATATTACACGTTTTTTAGAATAGGCATTTGCAAGGTAAGATTAATCATGTAGAAAAATCACATACTCAGAAGATTTTTTTTCTCCGACAAGGCCAAATAAAAGTGAACTATTACTACAGTTAGGGATTTCTGAGGTAGGTCTATCTTCTCGATAGTAAGAGTTAGTGAAAGAAGTAAGTATTAGGGCTTTTCTCCTTTTTTTTAAAAAAAAAAATCATTTCCACATAGAAAAATGAAGTGCCACTTGCCTTTTAGCAATCAAAAATCAGGATTTAGAAGCGTACAATATGGTAAAATAGATTAAATAAGATAAAATAGATTCTATTTGGGAGAAACAAAAACAGAAGCATAATTTATACCAACTTTGAAGCTTACACTAGGTAATTAATGCAAGTGAATAATATTTCCAAACAAAGGAGCACAGTGTTGGGTGAAGCAGCTAGGATGTACAAGCCAGCCACTTGGGTTCAAACTCTGACTCCCTCATGTGCTAGCTGTATGACTGGGGCAGAAGGCTCACATTCTCTGGGCCTGTGTCCTCATCTGTAAAACAAAGATAATAAAATGCGATGTTAAAAGTCTGTTGTGAGGAACAATTGAGATAAATGTGCAAGGCACGTAAAATAAGGCCAGCCACATAGAAGTGCTCCAAAAATGTGAGTTATTATCGGTTAGTTGATATTATGAAAGGACACATTCAGTAGCACTTAGTCTAGTGCAAAAGGCAGTGGGGAAACCAGTAGCTGGTATTGATCCAGGCTTCAAGATCATGTTAAACACTTCCAACTGAACACTATTTAAAGTCTTCCAGGTGATCAGACTGGGATCTTTAGTGTACAGATGATGAATCTGCTCTGGAATACACTTACACTTATTCCTAGGCAGCAAAGAACACTACCCAAATCCCAAAGATTTGGTATCATAGTTATAGGAAGAGATTTCCAAAGGTAACATATTCTGCACACCA